GTGGGCAGAACCCACGGCGTGCAGATCCAGAAGGGGCTGGTTTAGGTTATTCTCCAAGGCCAGCACTGCTTGCATGGCGTCCAGGGTTTTACCTCACTCATCCTGGGATGGCTTCTGGATATCTTGGAAGAGGACACGGCGGCCACTGGTTTTGCAGCTTCAAGAGCCACTCAGCACCCTCGTGCTTCTCCTTCACCAACTTGTAGAAGTGTCGCATGCCTTCCAAGGCCACATCATCGCAGTCAAAATAAAAACCCAGAGAGAGGTAGGTGTAAGAGGCCCACAGGTGCAGGTTGACCAGACAGTTGACACCACCTTCTGCTTCAACGGAATAATTTTTGACGGATCTGAGAGCTCATAGTTGGTCGAGGTTTTGGGGTTAACAGAAAAAGGTGTTAGCTGGTCCCCAAAACAGGAGGTGGTTGAGATGGTCCCAAGGTTATACCTGCCGATGAAATTAGAGGGTAGTCGGAGGCTGGAAGGGGGTAAGTCCCCGGGTCTGTTTTGTCCAAACACTGTTGAAGCAAGAGACAGTGTCCCTGGGGAACTCACATCAAGATTCTTAAGTCTCATTTTAACCCTTCTTATTGTCTTCTTTGTTTCTGTTTCTCTAAGTTTAAGGAGATTCCCTTTTACCAAGATCTTCTCTCTTAAGCTTCGTTGAAGTTACTTCTCTCTGGCTAGTTAACAGTCTCTGTCTTTTGTGGTTACCATAGCTCTGCAACCCAGATCAAACTCTACATTTTGAGCAAATAATGGAAATCAGTAAGACGAAGCCTTAGTTGGTACGACAGACAAAACAATCAAAATCCATTGCAGTTAAGTTGATTCTGACTCATTGTAATCCTCCATTATAAGGTTTCTAAAGTGGTAAATCTACAGAAGACTGCCTGTTTTTCTTCCTTAGGGCAGCTGGGTTCTAACCCCTACCTACCAGCAGCACAATATGCTACACACCACTCCACCAGAGCTACTACATTTGTACATAGGGCATTTATATTCTTTAAGTCACATTTTTTTATAAGTCACAATTTTTTACCCTAGTAAAGCAGGTGTTATGGCAAGAACTAATAAATTATTTTAATTAAACTCTCCTACCATGCACTGTCCTTTGGTTATGTGTTGTATATATGATCTCATTAATTATTCCCCCAACCCTATGGTATAAATTAGATTGATATTAATAAGTCTTAGTCATGCAAGTAAAGAGACCTGCTGGTGCAGGGCATAACGTGCTGCTCACTGAAATGTCTGCAGTTTATTGCGGGAGAAGATGGGCAGTCTCCTCCTGTAAAGATTTACAGCCTTGGAAACTCTTTTAGGGTGGAGAGTCTCTAAGGGTCACAGGTCTCTTGAGTCGTAATCAACTCAAGTGCAGCAGGTTAGTCACACAGCTTCAGCCTTGTCAATATGTGAACATAACCCAACTTCAGAACCAACATTCACTTTGTTCATTTATTTTTATGTAATAGTTCACTATCCATAAGACATTTAACTTGAGGTCACCAAAACAGATGGTGCCCAACTAATGTCTCATTGGAAATCCTAACATAAACGACTGTAGTTATTGTTTAATCTGAACCTCTTCCATTTTTCTCTAAGATTGCAGCCTTCTGCTGTAAATGCATATTCTAGTCTCTTGCAATGGCTTACACATGAACAGAACTGACCCATGAAATTGTAGACTGGTTTATAGTGCATTCTTTTTTTTTTTTCATTTATTTCTCTGAGTCACTGGCTTTTGAGTCCAGCTCACAAAAGTCACTGAACAAATACTGAACAAAGAACCAGTTCTACCAACGATTCTCTTCTCTAGGACTCCAGATTCTTTTTTTTTTTTTCAATTTTGGGGGTGGGGGAATCCTCATATTAAAAACAAAAACAATCCGAAACACCCACACCAAATAAAACAAACAAACAAAAAACTCCAAACCCATAAGAAATACTTGGTTTTATCCTAGAATTGCTATGTGTTATTGAGACATTTTATGCTTACCATCTATTTAACTGCTAGTGTATTTTACTTGCCTCAACCATTCTCATTTTCTCTTCATCTAAAGATTTATAAGATGATTTAGCATTTGACAATTGTGCCCATTTTTATTTCCTTAGAAGCAACGGGAGTGTTATGGCACCATTGTTTCTAAGAGAATGTTATCCAGGGTAATGTTATCTGAATTTCTTGCATTTGAGTGACAGTAGCCACAGCAATGCCACTAACCTGATCCAGATAGTTGAGATACAAAGCCCAGTCTCCATTGGTCCAGGGAGAGAGTGTAATATACACTTGACAACTGCATTGAATTGTCCTCTTATTTACAGATTTTCACAGGTTAAAGCCTGAGAAAGCCTGTTTGGTGATTATGGACATGAGCATCATGGACATAAGAGGACTGTGTGCAATAAAATAAATAAAAATAAATAAATAAGTAAAATAAATAAAATAAAAGCCCAGGGGTTTTCAACTCTAAGGACTAAAACTCTTAATCACTAAAACTGGTAGGAAATGTACGATTAAGCAGTGAAACAGCTATCTGAGCCCCTATGCTTTCCTCTCTTCATTGTTTCTCATAGCATAGTATTGAGGGAGCTCAACAATGATGTGTTCTGTCTCACTCCACTTCTGGTAAAGATTCTGCTTTCTGGAAACAACCTGAAAATGAGTTTTCACTATAGCCTATTTGACTAGTAACAAGTATTCTCTTTTCCTAAGGTATGTTGTGCTAAATTAAAAAAAAATAGACTTATTGCAGAGATATTGCTGCTTTAAAATGCCATTGGGTGGACTGTTATTCATAGCAACCTTGTGAACAACAGGTCTTGCCCTGTCAGCACTATCCAGAGGATCTCCGTCATGCTCAAGGTCATTGTAGCAGTCACTGTACCAATTCATCTCATTGAGGGCCTTCTTATCTTTTGTGGACTCTCCAAGGACTGGTTTTCCCTGAAAATATGCCCCAAATCAGTGAGATAGCTTCAACATACTTGCCTCTAAGGAGTCCTCTGGTTGCACTTCCTTCAACACAGACCTTTTGCTCTTTGGCAGTCCACGGATATTTACCACTCTTCAGCAGCAGCAGCACAATTCAAAGGCATTGATTCCTCTTCTACTTTATTCATTATCCAATTTTCAGATGCACTGGAAGCATGTGCTATATATATCTACATATTTCTGTATCTATCTAACTAGGCTAACTATTTCCAAAGGGGGAATAAGCGAGTCTATTTATGTTCAGGCCCCTATAACATGCCTTTCTTTTCATCAGCAACAAAAGCAGGAAATGATGAGAATACCTATTTTTTAAAGTTATATTTTATTTTTGTAACGATACAGAGCATAGGTGAATGATAGTTTTTAAGAAAGGATGGGATGGAGCAGATGAAGTGGAAATCATTACCTTAAGATACATAGACAGCCAGTAAAGGAGACTTCTGCTGGGTGGAGAAAAGCCGGAGACACAGCTTTAATTCTGAAATACATGAATATGAACACGGAAGAAATGTGGTTAGCCTCTAGGACCACTGTCCCACTAAGTCTTATCCCAAAACTATAATGGTGCTTCTACTGCATGTTGTCATCCTAAAGTATGAAACAGAATTTGCGAAAACCAGTCCTTGTTCTTTTTTAGGTTCTCCAAGAATTTTCCCAGCCCTGGCTCTTTATGACAAGAAGGTGCATGTATTTACAAGCTCAGGGTGGAAGGAGGGGGTTATTGCAGCTTGGGCTGGGACAAGAAACCCAGATTTTCCAGTGCCAGGGGAGGATGAGGTGAGAAATATTTTAAAGAGGGGTCATCAGGGCAGGAAGTTGACTCCACGTGTTTGCAACAAGGTCTAGGTGATGGTGGGTTTATCTACTCCAAGAGCTGGTTTGGCAACTTAGGCACTGGTATTCAGGGGAGGGAAGGTGTCCGGTTAGAGTTCCCCAGCACTTCCTCTCCTGTTCTCCTCCCTGCTTGCTATGCCAGAGAAACTGCATAACAGACCTCACACAGTTTTTCTGTCTGCTGGCCCGAGTGTCCCCATAGTGATTGTAGAAGGGAGAGGCAGCTGACTGCCTTCTCCAGCGGCTTCAGAACGTGGGTGGGCGCAGTGAGGTGGAGCAACACCTACCCAGCGTGGCAGGGGTTAAGCGGGAGCTGGGTGAATGTGGCACTGCCTTACAGAGTGGAACAAAGTCTGGTGCGGACGCTTCTGCACCAGGACTGGTGGTCTATGGTGATGCTGCTGCCATGACAATCCTGGGAGTGGATGCTAGCGCTAGGCGGAGACGCTCCTTGGACAGAGGCTGCTGTGCTGTGCCTGGCGGCCGCTGCTAAGCACGCGGGTCCTGAGCACCCCGGCATTGAAGCGGAGGCGCTGGACGGTAGCCTGCCCGCTGCGTGGGCGGCCCCCACCCCGTCGCTGGGGAGCAGATTGAGATCCTGCGCCCCTGCTGAAGCTGAGACCCTGGAGCTTCAGGAGTAGGCTGGTGACGTGGCCCGTGCTGTGGAACTTTTTGCCTTCTCATGGTGACAGATTGGAGATGTGGGTCTGGCTCACAATGACATCCATACACGTGTGCGCTCTAATCAAACATGTTATCTCCTGGGAGCAGCCGCTTTTCATGACATTTCCGTTATGTCAGAGACACGTGCCTTGACTCTTGGGGTTACAAAGTTTTGACACCAGACCTCTGCAGAGCCTACACAACTGAAAGTAGCGCCTGGAGGAGACAGGGAGAAAGAGAGCACTCTGTGACCTTCATTCCCGCACCTTCCTTCTTCCTCTCCCTTCTGGTGCCTCCTTCCTCCCCAGGAGAACTTCCAGAAAGCTCTTTCTGAAAGCAGGAGGGGCACTGACTCGACCAGGCTGGACAGCTGAGGCTGGGTTTTGAAGAAGCAGTATTAGATCTGGAGAACTCAGAGTCGTTCTTTCTCCTTCCCTGCACTTCTGGCTCACTCTACACCACTTCCCAGGCCTGCTGTTGTGGGGTGGGGCGAGGACCTAGCTGCCCAGAGTCCTGGGAAGTCCTGTTGGCTGAGGATGGGAGATTGTGGACACCTGTTCCTGCCCTGGAAAAGCCTTGTGGCCGTGTCTCTCAGGCTGCTATTCCTTGTACCCACAGGAGTGCCGGTGCGCAGCGGAGATGCCACCTTCCCCAAAGCTATGGACAACGTGACGGTCCGGCAAGGGGAGAGCGCCACCCTCAGGTAGGGAGCTGCACTTCAGCGGGGGTCTGCGCCTGGGGGAGACATCACGTGGGTAGGAATAAGCCAGAGAGATCCTGAAGCTTGTGTGAGGCCTTGGAGGAGGGAGATTGCTCAGGCTCCCTTGGCGCTTGCTGTGTGCTTTGTGAGGGAATGCAGAGTCCATTCCCCTGGGTGAACTAAGATGCCACCTGGATATTTTGGGTCTGAGGTCTTATAGGTGAACCCTGAGATCCAAATATGGGCTTTCTTACCTCTATTCCTAGACTCTCTTTTTTCTTGGCACAAAAATGTGACTTCAAAAGTAATTTGTGTAAGCCTTCAATAAATTATTTTTTTAAATAAATAAAGAGCTTAAATACAAAAGTAAGGAGTCCGAATACTGGACAATAAACTTAGCATTGATTGATACCTTCTTGACTTTCCAGGCTAGCCACTTGGATGCAAATGCTAAGTTACCGTGATGGGCAGGCTCCCTGCTATCAGAGGTAACTGCAATCTCAGCCTCTAGAATTACCAGCACCAGGCTGTGGCCTTTTATGAGCCCGCTCAAGAAGCAGCAATTTATGTCAACGGTGCTGGACTCCTAGAGCCCCGATTATAAATTATGAAGGCAGTTTTATCTTTGCAGACTTGGGACAAGGAAAAGAATTAATGTAGGTGTTTTTGCACCAGCATCACTCTGTGTGAGAACCACAATAGAAGCTGTTTAGCTATTTTTCTTTCACCTTAATGAGTTACAGAGAAGCACATACGTGTTCCAAAGATGGGGATTCTTGGAACATGAACCTTTGGGGACTGAATGATAGTAACACAGACTTTAATAAAAATGTGGTTGCTGCTTTCACCAGCTCAGCAGATATATTATATCCCTTTAATGAAGCTGCTCTGGTCCTCTGAGACAAATTCAGGGACATCCAGGCTTAACTGCATCTCACAGTGTGCAGAGGGTGAATGTGCTTGCCCTGTCTATGACTTTAATGACTAAGATGAGAATAAAACATTGTGCTTCAGAATCTGCAACCTTAAAGTTTGATTTTTGTCAGAGGAGAGAATAAGGTTGAGTTTCCGTCTTGCTCATCCTTTGGCTCCCTGTTAAGAAGCCTCCTTGCATCTAGATAAACCTTTGCCCTGGGACAGAAAGGTTTGCAACTGCTCTTCTCTAAGCCTGGTTGTTAAAATTGGTTGGATTCTTAACACTTTTGGTGGTTTCCGGATGAAGCTTCTTTTGAAATAGAGAATGGGTCCGAGAACTTGGAATTTTGGTACTTGGAAATCCGAGGAGATGAGAGAAAACATAGATAGATGTCCCTCTCGTGGAAAAGCATCCTCCTCAATGGTAGCCTTCTAACTGCCCCAACCTGGTTGTGATATTCCTTCTTCATGTCCCTCAAAAATACTAATGGGTGTCAAGAGATAATGATATAGAAGAGTGGTAAGAAGCTATGCTGTAATCTCGAATTCAGGTGGTTCAAATCTACCAGCTGCATCCCCAGAGAAGGTTGGGCAGTCTCTGCCTCTGAAAACCTGCTGGAGGGTCAGCTATGGGTTGCTTTCCACACGATGGTACATAATCACCACCTGGGATAAAGAGCCCAGAGAACTTTCTCAAATCTTCTCTTCTCTTTTTTTATCCCTGTAAGTTATACCAAACTCAAAACCCAGTAATAATTTTAAAGCTTGAGTTTCTTCTGATGCAGTAAGATGTTTCCACCAGCAGAGGTCTAGCTTTGATGCACTGGTTGGATTTGTGGTGTTTTTTTGTTTTGTTTTTGTTTTTGTTTTGTTTTATTAGCTGCGGGCCTGTTTTCATGATCTTTGACTGAAATGTTTATCAGCTGTGATAATGCAAATGGGAATTAGAAAAGAGCAAAATGGAATGGTTGCTTTAATAAATAATGAATAACTTAACTGTCTTAGTATAAATGACATAATTGCATGTTTAAGTTTTTAAAAATAAGGTCTGTATCTTATGCTTTCTTAGTCTTAAAATTTCTTTTATATCCTTTTGTCTCTTTGTATCATTTATTTACCTTTCATAGTCTTCTTCTTTATTGATTCATTTTACAAAGTTTATAATTTATTGCTTCACCTTACTACCCTGATTTTTAAGATTTTAACTTCTATTTAGTTATCTATCTCTATATTTATGTTTATATGTATCTATCTATAAAATTATGTATGCTGGAGTCTTCTGCAAATTGTAATCTTTCACATTTTGTTGTCAATTTTTCTTTTATTTTTATGGCTAACAGACACCACCTTAACAAAAATCATTTTCCAGAGTTCTGAGAATGCATACTTCTAGGCTTTTAAAGTTCATAGTTACAGTCCCAGACAAATGAATTAAATTCGAATTTGTGTTGCTGCTGTTTTCAAAGAAGTCCAGTTGTTAAGTATGATTGTTCTTTCATCTCCTTAGAAAAATTCTGTGGGGGATTCAGTGAACCCCATAGGGAGGGATTAAGTATTAAAAATGCACCAAAACTTTCTGATGTTATCTATGCCTATCAGCTATGGAAAGCCTTTTAAATGGGCCTGGAATGGAATTAGCAAAATATCTAAATCTTGAGTTAAGTCCCATAGGAGGGCAAAGACTTAGCAGGAAACTCAAAGGAATGGAAAAGCCTGAATCCTCCTTCAGACTTCCAAATTTAAAATCCATGACTTAGAAGAGAATGGCTACTTGGGAATGTCAATTTTGTTTTGATCTATCTTTTCATTGAGGGACATTTTTGGAGTAAGGTGCCAAGGATAGCATTAAAGTTTTGACTGTGGACAAAATTTGTTGATGTGCGTGAACCACCTGCTCCCAAGTCTATTCCCATGGGTTTCCCATGGGTTTCAAAAACCCTCCACTGGGTTTCAGAGGCTAGCTATTTCCCCTAAAAACCCAAATAAAGATTGCTATGACTTGAAATTAACTCCAGTGCAGTGGTTATCATCAATTTTTCTTCAATATAAACTGAGAGTTATGTGTCAAGTCACTTGCAACTAATAATGACCCTATGTACAACAACTCTGAACTCTGCTCTATCTTGAGCCAATTTCATTGTCTCGGACACATCAACTCCCATTACCCCTGTCACTGAGTCAGTCCATCTAATTGAAGGCCTTCTTTCTTGCACTGTTACTCTACACTTTCAAGCATGATGTCCCTCTCCAAGGACTGGTCCTTCATGGCATCATTCCCAAAGTACATCAGACAGAGCTTCAAAACCCTTGCCTCTAAGGAGCAACTTACTTTCACCCTCTCTAGGATGAACCTGTTTGTTCTCCCAGCAGTCCATAGTATATTCAATACTGTTCTTCAGCACCACAGCTCAAAGACATTGTTTCTTCTCTAGCATCCTTAGTCATTGTCCAAATCTCTGATGTATAGCAAGTAATTGTGAAAACTATGACCTGCATCACATGCACCTTAGTCTCTAGGCTGATATCATTGCTCCTTAGTACTCTGGAGAGGTCCCTGACAGCAGATTTTTGCAATGCAGTTTGTCTTTTTATTTCTTGGATGCTAGTACCAAGAGTGTTAATTGTGGAGCCAAGCAAGCTGTTAACAATCTCAGTCTCTTCCCTGTCTATCATCATGCTGGCAATTGGCCCAGTGTTGAGAATCTTTGTTTTCTTAATGTTGAGCATCAATCTATATTGAAGGCTGAAGCCCTTGACCTTCTGCAGCAAGTACTTCAGGTCCTCCTCCTCAGGTTCAGCAAGAAAGGTTATGTCGTCTCCATAATACAGGTTGTTAATGAAACTTCTTCCAGTCCTGATGCTACACTCCTCCTCATAGAGCCCAGCCTCCCAGATGATTTGTTTCACAAATAGATTGAAAGTCAGAGTGATACTAAGCAATTCAAAACAAGACTTTGTATCAGTGTTTACATTGCTTGAATGTATGCTAAGGATAACAGACCCTTAAACAGGGACACTGAAAGCAGTGGGGCTCACTCTTTGTCACATAAAAATACTTCCATGTTTTTTAAACATTCCTATGTCCAGGTCAAGAAAGCAAACTATTTGGAGTTTGGAGTGAAGTGTCAGCACTTGTCCAGTCTTTAGAATATAAACCCAGAATTGAGAACTATTGTTCTAAAGTCCTTTCTGCACTAGAGTAGCTTAGTAAGGTTCTCCTTACCACTCCCTTCCTCTTCTCTCTTCTTCTGTATTTTCCTCTCTCCTCCTCTCCCCTCCCCATTCCTCCCCTCCCCTCCCCCATCCCCTGCCTTCTCCCCTCCCCCTCCCCTTCCCCTCCTCTTTTCTCCCTCCTCTTCTTGCCCCTCCCCTCCCAAGCTGTCATCTCTTCTCCTATTCCCTCCCCTCCTCTCCTAACTCTTTTCCTCCCCTCCCCTCCCTTCCCCTCCCCTCCTTTTCCCTCTCCTCTCCTCTCCTCTCCTCTCCTCTCCTCTTCTTTCCTGTCCCCTTTGAGTCAGAATCAACTTGTAGCTGACCTTACAAGGAGTTTCTGAGGCTATAAATCGCTCAGGAAGAGATCATCCATCTTTGTCCTCAGAGCTATTGGTGGGTTCAAACCAGTCGGGGCAGCACCACTTTTCTACACTTTTTTTTAGACAAAATACAGTACTCTAAATCTTTTTCTGTTCTCAAGTGTGCCAATCCTCCTAGCATCTCACACACACACACTTAATGGCTTTGAAATGTATTTTTCTCCTCCCAATAGGACTCTGGGTGACCAAACTTTATTCTGTCCTGAGTTCTTCCAATACTTCACACACCTGTGGACTACCTATTAGACTTCTTGCCTTGAATGGAAACATGGTAGTAGGTACTAAGAATTAAAAACAAACAGAAGATGACAACATAACACAAAAAAACCAAACAACTAACAACTTGTTAAATTCATTTTAAGTGCATTTGTTGAATTCCTCTTAATTAAATCTAGCCTCATAATTTATTATTATGTTTACATTTATAAAGTATTTTTTATCTGAATTGACATTTTAGCACAGCAGGGCAAGGGAACACAGCAATGTTCAAGGCCC